AGGAGCCGGAGCGGGTACGCACGGACAGCATCGGCTCTACCATGTCATCTGAAAGATCCGACTCTGAGCGAGGTGAGAATGGGATCCTGCTGGACTAGTGCAGAATGATTGTATGAAGTCCACTTGGTTATATATTTATATTTCATATTTTAAGAAGGTGAACCTCCAGCAAAATCCAGACAATGATGGGAAAGCTCCCCGATGGGGGGACACAACAATAAATAACTGATAAAGGATCTAGTCAAGCTTTTCTCAAGCAGGGTTCCACGGAAAACTAGGGTTCCTTCTGTTGGTTATGTGTTTTAGATGAAGCACTGAGATCTTGAGGAATGCTGAATTAGGTTTTACTTGCTTAGAAGAACATTACACGTATGTATACAGCATAGTGCAGGAAACAGAGAGAAAAGCACTTCCTGTGTATCTTAGATAATCATTCACATAGAGACTAACATTGCACTACAGTGCCATCTACAGCTCAAAAGATAAATTACAGTATATAATGTTGTATTTCCAACACATCCAGTGGTTGCTAGGGGCTCCTTGAACAATGAGTAATTTCTGTCTCTCAGATATGTAACAATTGACACCAATAGCTAAGATGATTATCTGTAACGAGTGCATTCTTCCACCTAACTACCAATGTGGTTAGCTTTTTCCTAGTTACCACCAATGTAAGGAGCATTCTTTCCAATGACCACCAATGTAAGGGTTAGATTGTAGGCCCTCAGGGGCAGGGCCCTCCTTACCATCTTGTCGTGAATTGTATTGTGATTGTAATGTCTTCCTTATATAAACAGCCCTGGTAGGAACTGAAACCTTGGCCCTAGCACTGCAAGATCACCGTGCTAATCATTAAGCGAACATATTGACCATAATATAGTTGCCATAACTTTTTCTGTATGTGGGGCTGCTACATAAACTTTGTTGGCCAGAGAGTAGCCATTAACGCAAAATGTTTTATTTTCTGCAGAAGAGATTGAAGTGGACGTTGAGAGCACGGAATTCTCCCCGCTGGAAGTGGACAGTTCCAGTAGCACCAGCATCAGTGACCTGGATGACCACAATAGTATGCAGAGCGCGGCCAGCGACGAAGGTTACTCCAGCGCATCCATTAATCTGGCGTTCCACTCGTAGGACACAGGCCAGGCCAACTCATACGATGAACCATGGGCGTGGATGATACTTTCTGCTGGCAGTTATCAGTGGTCCACTCTTGGTTTCGATCTCTTCCTCAGCCATGAGTTGCACAAGTGTTGGGAAGTTTCATCCACATGCTGGACCAAAATCTTACACCCAGCGTACAATCAAGAGCATTACTTGAAGATCACCCAACTTTTGTAATACTGGAGATTACCAGGGTCTAACTTGAGCACAACTCGATCCCGCTCTGTGGTTGTATTATTATTTTTTTTAAAGCTTAGAACTTGATGACGTATTTTTTGCCTTAATTTGGCAACTAGAAGACCCTTCTGAAGAGGAGATCCCTTACAGATTGTGGTTGCTGGCCCGTCTTCTGGTTTCAACGCCATGTTTTTTGGAGAAGTATTGTAGGTTTATGAAGCCAGCCTTATCTAGGACCCACAGATGGTCTTCAAATGTCCTAGGATTTTCAAATACCAGCAGTCTTCTCTCACCGCCTTTGGTTTGGGGGTTCACGAGCCCCGTGGACCTGGAAGGTGGCCGCTTCAGGAAGCACACTACTTGAGTGTCTGTTCCTTTGTTTTGTTTCATCTCCTTTTAGACTTCCTCTGTTTACAGAGCGTTTTACTGGTTCCAAATATCCACTAATGGGGACGCTAGAAGATGAACAGTGACCAATCATGAGGATGTTATAAGTTAGAGGTGACCTCCATTAAGCAATATTTGTATCTACAATTTAATATAATTGGTATGTAAGCTGGTCAGACAACCTTTTATCATTTTAGAAAAACCACAACCCTTTCTTAAAAGTTTATTATTTTTTTAGAGTTTTCCCAAGTTCATGAGTGGTACGGGAGGGCACAAATAGGATGCTTAACACCTCTTCTTCAAAGCCTAACTCTGGGCAGTTAAAAAATCTTTATACTTGTTTTCCCCCAAGGTGAAGGATGTAGTCTTCATTATACCTAGGTGATGGGCTAGCACAGGGTAATACTTGAATCCGCTTCCACAAACTCCCTCCTCTCTGGTTCTGATACCGCAAAGCCAATCTTCTTGTCACCACCCCTCTTGCCAATGTCATTATGTAAAATGCTGGACCATCTGCCATGTCATATCCACCTGACATGCCTGCGGGTCCTGCATCATACATGATGATTTAGGATTGCCCACCCACATCCTAGCAGTAAAGAGAAGAGAAGTGAACTGCCAGCTGTAACAGGTTAAGTTGAGTATTACTCTTTGCTAACCCATCCTCTAGACCAGGGGTAGGCAAGCTCCGGCCCTCCAGCTGTGGTGCAACTACAAATCCCATTAGGAATTGCAAGACTTTGACAGCCACAGGCATAAGTCCAGGGTTGAAATTGCCTACTCCTGCGCTACAAAACAAGCACTAGATCCTTCATCAGCTGGGGTGGGTGAATCTAACTGCGGGTTATGCTTTAGGTTTTAACATTTGATATATCATTTTCATAGAAATGTCAAAATTTCCCTCTAGATTAAAAAAAAAGCCAGGGGCTCTTTGTTGTGGAACCCCAAGTCACATATACTGTAGCATGACTTGGTTGGATGTGATTGCCACTAACTTCTGAAGTCCCTTTATTTTTATATTCCAAATTTGTAATTTTTGTAAAAAGGAAATTGTTGCTGTTTTTGAAATGGAATCAAACATAAATATATTTGTGAAATGTATTCAAATACAATCAGAAAGACATCAAATAAGAACGTTATAAGTTTCATAACTACACATTCAGTCCAAAAAAAGATACATAAAGTAGATGTAAACCCAATGACTAAAATCTCGTATAAAGGTTAACATGTTCATGTAAGTCTCAATCTTTATAAATTTGCAGCTTTCAAAAGCATATCCCCTGGTGCTCCTGACCTGAAGGTCCTTGATGAAGCTCTTCCTGTTAAGGGGTGACGGCTCTCACCCTGTCACATGCTCCCCTGGTGGGAACTACAATGGGCCATGCCAACACACATTGCAGAAGCACGGTCCACCATTGATGCACAGTGCATAGCGCAAATTAAACATCATCTAGTTGGGGTTTACATCTACTTCAAAAATGATACTGTTGTTGGATTCCATTTTGAAAATAGTGTAACACAAAAAAAAAATATTGTGCGTTATTAATCATGATAAAGATCGGAATTGGTTGACCTTTTGCACCTTTCTAGCTTTGAGCTTACGGCCAAAGCATACCTACTAGTCTCTTCCTCCAAAGCACAGGTAATCAATAGCCTTACTTTTCTGATTTACCTGTTTGATAGTGAAAGTATATTTCCACCTTTGCAGTCAAATGTGAGTAACCTCTACCATATGTTTATGTGTTCCCATTTAAGGGAACACTTCAGGGACAGATTGGACTAAAAGTGCATTAGCATAAAAGCCTTGATATCTAGGACAGTGTACATATCTAGTCTACAACTGATAATTGTAGGTCTGGTCTCATCCACGCACCCCAAACCGTCCCCGAGCCTTCCCCTAGTCTTGTATTGCACTCGGCATCCCAAAAGTCTCATGTGGTGGGGGGTCTAGAGACACCTCTGTAGGTGTCAGCCCAAATTGACTGTAAAGGTGAAGATACCTGTTTGAGGATTTTGTCACCCAAGAACGGATACTTCACATTTTAATGGTTACAGGCAAGTTGATTCTTATATGTCTTGGCCATATTTCGCAATTGAATTTCCTGGTCTGCCCAACTGATGAATTGATGATGTGGTTTCTACAAAGGCTACAGACGGATGATCGCAGACGGATCCTCTACAATGTAGAATTAACAAATACACTATATGGGCAAAAGTTGTGGATACCTGACAATCACGCCTAATATGAGCTAGTTGAAGATCCCATTTCATTCCATGGACATTCATCTGAAGTTGGCCCACCTTTGCAGCTATAACAGCCTCCACTCTTCTTGGAGGGCTTCCCACAGGATTTGTAGGCTGTCTATGGGAATCTGTGCCCATTTGTGAGGTCAGGTAATGATGTTGGCTGAGATCTGGCTCGACATCTGCATTTCAGTTAACCCCGAAGGTGCTCAGTAGGATTAAGGTCAGGGCTCTGTGCAGACCACTCGAGTTTCTCCAAACCAAACTGGTCAAACCATGTCTTTATGGAGCTGGCTTTGCTGGGCCTTCTCCAAACTGTGACCACTAGGTTGGAAGCATACAATTGTCTAAAATGTCTTTATATGGTGAAGCATTAAGAGTACCCTTCACTGGAAACATCCAGATCACGTGGAGCTATATAGTAGCTGAGATGGTCAGATGCCCACAGATGTTTGGTCGTTTAGTGTAATTGCTGGTTTCTGTTGAGGGAACCGTTGTTCTGGTTTTGTGGGACAGGTTAAAAAACACAACATACTACAGATAAATCTTTTACTGTAGGCTGCTTAGAAGAGATATATGAAATTGGAGGGGGGAATGTCCATTCTGAGTGGAACTGTCATGTAATTCCTTACCAAGATTCCCCCTTTTAATGTATCTAATATAACTTTTAACACCTTTTCCTATAACAGCCCTGCAGACTCTACTGAAGCTGTAAGTCTAACATAGGTTCCCTACCCCTGCATTATAGAACTTTAACATTTTTGATTCTTTTTAAAAGAATAAACTCAGATTCAACGGAAACTTGCAATCAGATACATTGAAATGGGCCTGCGAAATTATGAATTGTCTATATTTGGACTGGATCACGAAGTGGAGCCGACTCGTTTCTCTCCAGACTCTGGACTGACGATGACACTCCACTCTAAATGTATTCTGCAGCCATGCTGTTGTGTATTCCAATATACAGCTATGGCTCGGCTGTTTTGTACCTTGCAGCTACACTCCTGGGGTTTGAATGTTTTCTTGAAGAACTCTCCATCTTGGAGAAAAAATGTCCCCTCTCGAAATTCTTCTCATGTGTCCGATTGCATACCGTCTGCACTAAACGTTAGTTTGCCTTCGCACGCCAGCTAGTGGTAGACGATCAGTTGGTGTGCGGGTGCCTACGTGTTGCGTCGGTATGCGGGACTGTCTCTTAGACACGTATTACGTTCAACTTTGTAAGTTGCGTCAATGTTCGCGATCCATTCTTCGACCATCTCACTGTAGTGAGCTGAGATCTCTGAGCCTGTCATTGAGGATGTGCGCTCAGAGACGACCTCTATCCAGGCAATTGCCTGCAACAGTGTTTGCTTTAGGTTGTATTTTTACTCTTAGATGTCATTTTAGCTTCTTTCAGTGCTACGCCCGGCAATAATTTTCAAAAAATGATTTAGTTTGATATGCTGAAAAGATTATTTTTAACCATAAAAAGTTACCCGTTGTTAAGTTAATATATCCTTTATAAGCAGCAGGGAGTAGAGGGGCAGCAGGGGGTGTGGAATTCCTATCTCCCGATGCCCGTGACATGCAGTTCCGGGCACCAGGCGAGTAGTTGTTTTCTACAAATAGCCCGGCTTTGGGCAAGCAGAGCTAAATGTACAGCAGGGAAACTGCCGCTTGTTTTGTACAAGTGATCTCGGCAATGTCGCCGAGATCACTTGTATGCAGCCTGCAGGTCTGCCAGTCTCCATTTGGGGTTTGGCGGGTAGGGGGGCGCATTGAGGAACCTGGCCTTGGGGCAGCAAAGAGAGTAAATCCGGCCCTGACCTTTGTAGGTAAGATTTCCCTTCATTTCCTGTTTCTGTGATAAAAAACGAGGTGTGGGCTTCACAGGGCAGTAAAGCACAGACGGCAATAAACAAAAGTTCTAACCTTTCCCCAAATGCATTTTGTATGCGTCTGCGTTGGAGAGATTTTTCAACACTTCCTGTTTTGACAGGAAATGAGGGGAAACGGCCCTAACTGGGACTTGGACAGCATTAGGGTCTCTAACCCTTCCCCGCTCTCTCCAAAAAGATCTATTTGGACTTTAGTTGCCTTGGTGGACATGAAAAATTTTGGTAAGGAAATTCAAAGTGCGGTGTAATAAATATATTTCTGTTACATTTTTTCATTTCCCTTCTTAAAAATCATAGAAAATGGCAGCTTTCAGATGGTCATATGAAGTCTATAGTTTGCCAGCATCTGGGCTTAGCTGCTGTACAATGACCACGCAGGGAAAGCAAATCTCAAATTCTCTAAAAAATGTTGTAGAGGATTTCCAATGACGGTTGTTAATTAACTGAGCCTGTGTAGCTTGTCCAGTCAGCTCCCCCGC